AGCGGATAAGGTGGTAATGAAGGCACATGGCATGCTTGCCTTCATTGGTCAGGGCATTGAATATAAAAATTGGCAAGTCATGTCACAGCTGTATAAAACTTTAGTTAGGCCAAATTTGAAGTAGTGTGCGCAGTTCTGCTTCCCACAGTATAGGAAGGAAATGGAGGCTTTGGAAAGGATGCAAAAGGATGTTCTATGCTGCTGCATTTTTTTTTCCTCAAAACACTTAATACTGTTAATAATTATGCAAATACTCCCAGCACTCATACAGTTTGAAGAGAATGTTCAACAGTCAACAAGTTGCAGAAACCTTTTAATCATCCTTCTATGAATGCCTTATTTGTCTAATATATGAATTATATTATTCCAAATAAAATCAATGCAATGCCCAACAATTTCAAATTCTCAATTTTATGAAACAGGCGCCAAATCCTATTCACCTTTTTATTTGCTGACCTCGACTGGTTGCTGGTACAGCAACATCTTGATTTTAAAGTGCTCTTCTTTGTTTTCAAATCTCTCTATGGCCTGGCTACTCTGTCTCACTCAGCTAATCTATCTGTACAACCCTCCACGATAGCTGCACTGCTACTTGCAGTCTCTTGAGCATTCTCAATTTTAATCATTGCACCACCAAGCCTTCAGCTGCTAGACCAGAATTTACTTTTTATTAGAGATTACAACGTATTATTCTCCGTCACTTCTGCCACCTACAATCCGACCCACAACCGAAGAGATATTTCCCTCCCCACCCCTATCTGCATTTTGTGGGGACCACTCTTTCCGTGACTCCCTCGTCTGCTCCACACTCCCCATTAACCCCACCACCCCCGGCACCCTTCCCTGCAACCGCAGGAAGTGCTGCACCTGCCCCTACACCTCCTCCCCACCTCCATTCAAGACTCAAAACAAACTTTCCATATCAGACAGGGATTCATTTGCACATCCATCAACTTGTTCTACTGCATCCGCTGCTCCTGATGTGGCCTCCTCCACATCGGTGAGACCAAGCGTAGGCTCAGAGACCGTTTCATAGAGCATCTGCACGCGACAAACGACAACACCTTCTGGTTGCCAGCCAGTTTAACTTCCCCTCCCACTTCCTGGGTGATACATCCATCCTGGGCCACCTCCAGTGTCACAATGACACCAACCACAAACTGGAGGAGCAACACCTTATATTCCACCTCGGGATCCTGCAGCCCAATGGCATAAACATGGAATTCACCAGTTTAAAAACCCCCAGCCTCATCCCATGTCCAACCCTCCCTCTCATCCCTGCCTCCTTAACCTGACACAACCTGTCCATCTTCTCTCTGACCTATCCACCCCACCCATTTCACTGATCAATCCCCAACACTCCCTACCTGCACTCACCTATCACCATCCCACCTATCTTCCCCAGCCCCACCCCTCCTCTCTCTTTATTTCCTAGCTCTCTTCCCCCTCCCCATTTCTGAAGAAGGGTCCTGACCTGAAACATCAACTTTCCTGTTCCTCTGATGCTGCCTGGCCTGCTGTGTTCCTTCAGCTCCATACTGTGTTGTCTCTTTACTTATTATTATTTGTGTTTGAAGGAATATCAGGATCTTGTACTAAGCACATTGAATGACATTACACATTCCATCATTTCCACACTAGAATGATCCAAGTTCCAATCTTTAGTCTGTGCTAATTAATTCAAAGCTAGTGATAGCTACCACATCGCGATTGGCCTCACTATTCATGGGGAGGGAAATATCTTTTTGTGGGTCGGATTGTAGGCGGCGGCAGTGGCAGGGAATGATATGTTGGTATCTCTAATAATACGCAAATTCTGATCTAGCAGCTGAAGGCTTTGTGGTGCAATGAAAATTAAGGGTTCCCAGTTAATAAAGCAGTCTATTTGTCCATTCTCAACAAGATTAATACATTCAAAGCAAAATCAATACAAAAGCTCATCCATCACAAGGCAACTGGCCTAATACTCTATATTTAATTATTCAAATTGTTCTCCCACCTTGCTTGGCCACCTTTGAAATTATCTTTCTCTTTATTTTTTTCTTTTTTTGAGTTACAGCAGACTGTGTTCTGGGATCTTCGACAATCATTGTATTCTTCAAATCTTTTAAAGAACATATTATAATCAGAAGCAACAACTGCATCTCTGTTGTTCAGACTTTCAAGACAACTTTTCCTTGATCAGAGCAAATTACAGCTCTCTGTAGCACACACCAAGCAGCTAACAATCACATGCCAGCTCCATTGTGTGAAAACTATGTGTTTTAAATTTACAGTCACAAGGTTTAATGGAAAAAGGACATGTTAAATGTCACAGCAGCTCCAACAGATTCTTTAATACAAAAGGTATGATGATATGCATAACACAATAATGAGGGAGAGGCAGGAGAAGATACTGTTACAAGATCCAATCACAACTTCTACTAACAATTATGATCTTTAAGATGTGCATCCTTTATTAGAACTAAGGAGGTGTTTTCAGTTTGCAGAAGATAAGAAGAGGAAGACAGCAGAGAATGAACAACTAAATTAATTACAGCCAAAGAACAGATGACCTTTCAATATGTTTGACAATGACCTTCTTTGTGATACGCACTATATGTATGGGAAACTTCTTTTACTTTCGTTCCCTGCTATTGTTGAGCTTTGCAATATTCTATCAATTTGAGGCAACAATCACATATCTCTAATAAGCAAGTATACATTGCATTCTATACACTCACATTCAGGTTTTCAGGTTTACAATGGAAAAGTCAAATTCAGATTAAGATGCATTAACCATTCCACTAGGGATCCTCACTTTTCTGCAACTTGTCACTAATTTCCACACCCGAGCTCCTCTGTTCCCACTATGGTGTCAATATGCCAACATTATTCCAATGGAACTCAACACAAGCCTCAGGTACAGTAACTGCTCTTTTCATATGATAAAGCAGTTCACTTGATCAGGACCTCATTCACTACCAATGTACAATGGCAGACGAGTCACCAATCCTTTTTCAAAAACAACTTCCAAACCTGTGACCTCTACCATCCAAAAGGACACAGGAAGCAAATGCATGGGAACATCAAGCCATGCTTCATCCTGACTTGTAACTATATCAATGTGCATTCACTGTCGTTAAGCAAAAACCTGGTCTCACTTTCTAATGGTTTTGAGTGTACCTGCATCCCCTGAATTGCTGCTGTTCAAGATGGCTCTCAAAAGCAATTAGGAATGAGCAAGAAAATGTTGGTCTTGCCAGCAACTCTTACAACCAATCAAGTATCTTTTTAAAAAACCTCCAGCCCTCTAGTCACTAACTTTATTAATTTCAGACATTTGCTTGTGATGTGGGATGGGTCTGCTCATGATTATCTTCCAATTTTGGACTTTTAAAAATACTGTTCCAAATCAGTAGCAAGGCTTCACGTTTGCATTCTAGAACCTTCTTAAGTGGCTCTATCCTGTCATATCACTGTACATTTAAAAAGGTTTCCACAAAACCTATTCCTGATTTCCTCCTCAGTGTTCACCTCCCTTATGAAATGCTTTGGATGTTCTTTCCATGCAAAAGCCACATGATAAATCAAGCTTTTTTCTTCCACCTCAGTTTCTGTAATGTTTTCTCTGTCGTTTGACAGTATCAATTCTCATCTCTCTGGCTCCCAAATTTGTATTTCAGCTATCCTCCAGTTCCTCTCAGCCAATTTTCTTTGTGCTTAACCTGTAAATGTTTGCTTGTTAAAACTTCTCTTTGGGCCTGCTGTCACTTAGTCTCTATCTTCTTTGTTGGCAGCACCTTCCCTCTGATGTGTAAACCACAAAACCAATCTCAGCATCTAAAAATCCATATTCTGTCTCCATATTCTGGCCACCAGGCACTTTAATTTTTACAATAACATACATTTCTACAGTCTGGATGTCCATAATACCATAGTACAGTTTTCTGATTAATTTGACGAAGACAATTCTTTCATATTACTAAATTATTATTGATTTCTGACAAGTCTTGAGCATAACTTCCATTAATGCACTTGAGCAGCTTCTATGCAGTACATCCGATCAAACCAAGATTGTGAAGTACAAAAGACACTCTCTAACAGTACCTGGGACTGGGATGAACTCTGGAATTGTCTGTTGCTTTTCAATTATTTGATGCTCCTGGGGAAAAAAAAAAATATTTTTAAAACTTCTTTTGACAAAACCAATTTCCTCCCTACTGCTTGAACTGTAACTGTCCCACTTCCCTCTGCAATACATCCTATATGACAATATTACATAACTTTCAAACCACTTGAGATGGTCATTGGACAGTGACATATTTTAAAATATTTGTTATTCAATAATTTTTATTATTCAATAATTGAGTTCTTTTTCATTCAAGAAAGTGTTAACTCATATGTTATAATATGCTTAGAGAAATTTGTGCTGAGTCAATATAAATGAGAATGAAAATTGAGAAAAGATTTATAGCGCCACAATTAAGGGTTGCAGCTGTACAACGTGGGAACTCTTGGATAACAGTATGATTATGGCAACCACATCTCCAATAAACCTCTGCAGTTTGAGGAATTTCAGCTCAGAGTTGGTGAGCTGGAGTACCAGGTCACTTTGTTCCAGAAGGAAGTCACACCAGACATGTTAACTGCTTCAGATTTGGTCTATGAGAAAGGGCAGGTGGCTGTGATTATGAATGAGGTAGGTTTGGGGATCCAGAGAGAGCAGTGAAACTTAGTCCTTGCACTTGCTCAATATTGTTTGATATTCTTGCAGCTTGTGTGAATGACAGCAAAGACTGCTGCAGGATGAGCAAACTAATCATAGCACCTTGATACAAGAGGTCATTCAAGTGGGTGGGAAATAAAAAGGAATATAGTCATAGTAGGGATCAGGATAGGGCTTAGATACTACTCTATGGATTGTCAAGATAAGGTTAGCCTTGTGGATGAATTCACACTGTGCATTTGGGATGTAAATGTTCTGGAATCAACCAGTTATTTAGAGTTAATTCTTTCATAGTAAAGGATCCTCTAAAGACCATAAAACTACATGATATAAAAGCAGAAGTAGGCCATTCAGCGTATCCAATGTCCAACTTTTCCCCAAGACCTTTGATGCCTTTACAGATAAAAAAAATCTGCCTACATCCTCTGCAATAAGGAACTTCACAAATTCATTAACCACTGAGAAAAGAAATTCCTCCTCATCTCTGCTTAAGTGACACTCTCACTCTGAAATTATGTCTTCCAGTCATAGACTTGTCTATTGAGTAACAACCTTTCTATATCTACCCTGTCAAGTCCACTAAGAATCTTATATAAGTCAATAAGGTTGCCTCACATTCTTCTAAACTCTAATGAGTACAGGTCCAACCTACTCAATCTCTCTTTATAAGACTATCCCTCACACCTGCATCAACCTAGTAAACCTTCTCTGGACTACCTCCAATGCCAGTACATCTTTCCTTAGATAAGGGGCCCAGATCTGTTTACAGTACTCAATGTGTGGTCAAATAGTGCCTTGTATGGTTTTAGCAAGGCTTACTGTTTTAATATTCCATTCCCTTCGAAATTATATTTTGAAAACTTTCCAAGCTAGCAAAGGATGGCAAAAGTATATATTGGGAGAAATTTGAGTATGATAGAAAACTAACAAGAAATATAAAAACAGACAATGAAAGTTTCTACATGTTTATAAGAAGGAAAAGAGCAGCTAAAGTAAACACTGGTCCCTTTGAGAGAATGAGACTGGCGAATTAATAATGAAAAGGACGGAAATGGCAAAGACTTTGAATATGTATTTTGTACCAGTATTCACAAAAAAGATACAAAAAAAGGGTCACAAGATTGATAGAAAATTAAGAGGTAAAGGTAATAGGAGGACTTATATCAATTAATATCATTAAATGAAAAGTAATAGGAAACGAAAATGATTAATCACAGCACCCGAGACCAGAATTTGATTCCAACCTTGGGCAACTGTGTGTGGAGTTTGCACATTCTCCCCGTGTCTGCGTGGGTTTCCTCCAGGTGCTCCGGTTTCCTCCCACATCCCAAAGATGTGTAGGCTAGATGGATTGGCCATGCTAAATTGCCCATAGTGTTCAGGGATGTGTAGATTAGGTGGGTTGATGGGTCTGGGTGGGATGCTTTGAGGGTTGGTGTGGACTTATTGGGCCGAAGAGCCTGTTTCCACCCTGTAGGGATTCTATGAAATCTAATGGGATCAAAATAGACAAACACATGGACCTGATGGCCTGAATTTAAAATCTCAAAGGAAGCGGTTGAAATGATAATGGAAACATTGGTTGTAATCTTCTAAAATTCCCTAGAATAAGGAATAGTTGTAGGAGGTTGGAAAATCACAAACGGAAGACTTCTGTTAAAGAAAAGGCAGTCACAGAAAATAGGAAACCACAGGTCAATTAGTCTAACAACTGTCATGAGGAAAATGCTGGAATTTGTTACTATGGCGGTAGTTATAGGATAATTGGAAAGTTATTATACAATCAGAGAGAGTCAACGTGGATTTGTCAAAAGAAAAATGGTGTCTGACAAACTTATTCCTGTACTTTAATGATGGAACAAGCAGGACATATGAACATGTGGTGTGTTTGGAATTCCAAAATGAATTTGATAAGATGCTACATACAAGATTACTGCAAAAGTTAAGAGTTCATGGTGTTGGGCGTAATAGGTTTGCATGGATAGAGTATTGGCTAACTAGCAGGAAACAGGCTTGGGATGGGTAGTTTCAGGATGGCAACCCTGTAACTAGTGGAGTGCCACAGAGATCAGGCTACCGTCTCAACTATTCACAATCTATTGTAATGACTTGAATGAAGTTGTAGGGTTGACCCGTACCTGCCCATACAAAGTGACCCGTACCTGCTTACACCAAAGCAGCCCATGTTTGAAAGACACAAAATGACCAAAGAGGGCTAAACAAAATGGGGCAGTCTGCTCTAACATTTCAAGTGAAACATAATAGTACCTTGGAAAGAGCTACCCAAGGTCCTACAAAGACCCTGAAACCCATCAGGGTTTGCCTAAGAATAGACAAATGACTCTAGCCTGTTTAATGAAAGGATGTTGTCCCACTAAAGACATAGCATTAGGGATGTAAATCTTAGTTTAGATTAGATTAAGTCCTGAAACAACTGCAACAAACAGCTAAAGATTTGTTGTAGTAATTAGCTTTTTACCTGCAGTATTAAAAAATAGCCTCTAGTTAAAGAATTATTCAGATAATCACAGAAGTAGGTTTCAACATATAAACAGAATATAATACAGGCAGTAGGGGAGAAAGCACTTAAACCCCGAAGTGAAAGTTAATTAGCTTTAGGACACGCCCTATGTTATGTCCTGAACAAAATAGATTGGTCCAACTCATTAACTACAAAGTGCTAGCAGTAAAAGTAACTTTACACCTTTGAACGAAGCTTAACAGGAATTAATCATATAGCAATTAGTTAAAACAAACTGTCTTTTGTTTTTATTATATATATATATATGTATATATAAAAAATCGGGACAGTGGGAAATATAAAAGGAATGATTAATTTTGTTAAAGGTGGCACACATAATACCATGAATAACAGAATTCAAACAGCCCTTGGAGATAAGAAAGTCTAAGACAGACCAGAAGAAGTATAACTAATAATTTTTGGAATGTGAATTAATAGGATGTATAGAAAAACCCCAAGGCCCAGAGATTACAATGTCTAGTAAACACCAAGAGATCATGAGAACCTGGGCCTGTCCCTAGGAATGCCCATCATTGATTCGGTGTACCATGGGATTGGGTGCTTGGATTAAGGGGAAGGATAGTTACGTTGTATTTGATTACTGTAACACAAAGTGTACAAAAATGCTGTACTTCTTTGTAAAATCAGAGTGTGTCATTGACCTCCTTCCAAATTGGGGAAGATTCTTCGGTCCTCTCCCTGCATCAATCAGTTTCTGCTTGAATAAACATCTTCCACTTGCCTGTATCCTGCCTGCCTCCTGAGTTTTTATTCCCGGTCGGGGAATACGCTCCTACAGAAGTGATCAAATATATTGTAGTCAAATTTACTTATGAAATATAAGTAGAAAAACAATTTTTGAGGAGGACACAAAAAATCTGCAAAAGGTACAGACAGGTGAGCGTGTAGGCAAAAAACAACAAATTGAGTTTAATGTGTTCAAATGTGAGGTTTTCTATTCTTTCTGCCAAGATAGACAAGCAGAATTTATTTAAATGGAGAATGATTTCAGAATGGTTGTGGAGCAGGAGAATCTAAACGTACTTGTACATGAACCACAAAAAGCTGGCATACAGATATAGCAAGTAATTAGGAAAACATATGGAATGTTGGCCTTTATTGCAAGTTGGATGGAATATAAATATTGCTAAGTCTTGCTACAATTGAAGAAGGTCATTGGTGAATCTGCACCTGGAGTACTGTGTGTAGTTTTGCGCTCCTTACATACTTGCAATGGAATCAATTTAGAGGAGGTTCACCAGACTGATTACTAGAATAAAAGGGTTGTTTTTGAGCAAAGGTTGGGCCTGTAGTCAATGGAGTTTGGAAGAATTGAGGTGATACTGTTGACATGTAGGTGCTGAGGCACTTTGATAGGGTAGATGCTAAGAGGCTGTTTACATTCATGGAATAATCTAGAACTAAAGGGCACAATTTAAAAATAAGGGGTTTCCACTTCAAACAGATATGAGGAGGAATTTCTTCACCCTGAGGGTAAGTAACCTTTAGTATTCTGTACCCCAGGCCGGTGGAAGTTGGGACATTGAAGATATTCAAGGATGGGTTGCAGAGAGTCAGCAGTTGTAGGGGAGGGAGGGAGGGAAGTCAGCAAGAAATTGGAGTGAAGGTCATAATTAGATCAACCATGAACCTATTCAAAGGCAGAGCAGGTTTGAGGGGTCAAATGGCTGATTTGCGCTCCAATTTCTTATGTTTCACACGTTTAGCACCCCTGTTCTCCCCTGAAAAAAATATTTTAAGTTCTTGCTTTTCTTACCTTAGATGTTTGAACTGGAGTAAGTTCTGGAAGAGGAAAAGAAGGAAGATTTTCAAATGCACCTAACAAATTGCTCATTGTCAGATTATAAATCTAAGTTATCTTTCACAAGCTTTTGGAGCGCTGCTCCTTTGTCAGGTGAAGCACAACAGAGCAATGCTCCAAAAGCCTGTGATTTCAAATAAACATATTGGACTAAAACCTGGTGCCATGTGATGTCTGACCTTGTCCTCCCCAGTCCAACATCAGCACCTCCACATCATAAGTTATTTTTGTGCACAAAATGGTGATGAAATCAGGTGAGGGTTCATAAACTCACTCCACAGCCCCGGCTATTAGTCAAAGATTTTAATAACATCAACAGTTGAGTGGGAAATATTGGCATAGCAATTTGCAATATGAATGTTAACACAAAAGTTTGGTCATATACCCTGACGAGCAAAAAGGCCTGCAGATGTAAAGGACAGACACTATCTAAGTGCTGCAGAATACATATTTTAAAGAAATGTCCAACGAAATGAAAATGGATCTGCAGGAGCATAAAATGAGAAGAAATGCAAAACCACAAGTTGCTCCTCAGCTCAGGTAAAAAGGCCGGACTATACTAGATATTGGAAAATATACAAAAGACATTGTTATTGCTCGTCAGTATTTATCTTCTAGCAGATTATAAATGCCAGCTGTATCCCAATGAAATGGAATGACCAACAACAGAACAAAGTCATTAGCTAATGAAGTGTACAGAAAAGGAACTTGTGCGTGATCATTCAGAGTATAATTATTTTGTGTGAATTGCTGGTCCGCCTATAAAGTTATTAACTTTTTAGAATAAATTTGCTTGGGCTATTGTGGTCCAGTGGTGCCCAAGTCAATGAAACTTAGAGATGATTAATTCTGTGGTTAATAATCGATGCCGTAACAAAAATGATGCTGGAGTTCAGTATTTTCATTACTTTCAAAATTACATTTATCTAAGAGCAATTTCATGTTTTGCATATTGAAACATAAAATCTGTTTAGACTGTAGTTGAATATTCCCCAAATTGTGCCAACCCATTTGACAGTAAAACAATCCTTATTTTCATAAATAATCATCAATAAGATGCAAGCCTAAAGATCAATCTGCAAATGAAACAATTACAGAACACTTGCAATTCAACACCTAAAAAAGCAAAAACAGAGTTCCAGAACAAACGTCATTATAATAAATGGAGATGAAAGATAAGAGGTCAGATTTGTCATAATAGCACCAAGGAAAGTTAATGATAAATTAAAGTAAAATGCTTATCAGCGCTACAACAAATCCTACAAATGAATGGAGTAAACCACTATAAGGCATTACCACAAAGCACTGTAAAAAGAATGAATATTGTGACAGGCAATCACAAAAAAATCACAGGTTTCTGCAAATGATTATGAGAAAGTCTGTTACAAACATATTGAAAAAAATGGTTAAAATAAGCATTTAGATCAATTAGACATCTGACAATTCTCTTTCTACAAGTGCCATTTCTTCATCCAAAACCAAAGAAGAGGCCACAACAAAAATTTGTATTCAAACTGCTCTTCATCATAAAGATGAAGAAATGGGAAAAGGAGTCTTAAAATTAAAGGATTACGGAATGGATTGCTGCACCTTTTAAAAGCAAGATACCTGTACATTTTAGAAGTGCTGTTTACACTGTTGCTTGTTCAACTAATGAGGGAGGTTAGGTGCAGACAACGGATGTTGAAAGTAAGATTCAGTTGGAAACAAGTAGCTGGTTGGTCTATGGAGTTTCAACCAGTTGTTGTTGACAAAGATCTTCTGACTGCCAACAACTGTGATTGGCTCTAGGTAGCTGAACTGCTTGTAGTTGTGCACAATATGGCCAGAAACTTTTAAACCTCTGGAAGCAGAGGTGGTATCCTTTTTTCTGCAGCAATAAACACTTAAAGCCTGAAGAAAGCCAATTCATTCTCTCTCACCAGTTGCTGTAAGCTGTGGCTTTTCAGCAACAAGACAAAGACTTGCTTTGCGCCTCCTGCAAGGAAGAGAGAGGGAGACATCGATGAACAGCCAGTCCTGACAAGCAAAAGGATCATCTAAGCAAACCCTGTGAACAGGGACCACTAAACTGCCTTTCCAGTGTTTCTCTCCACTAATGCTTTTTGCATGTCTGTATGTGTGTGTAGGAAGGAGTTTATAAGGGCATTTAGGAATAACAGTCACATGTTGTCCGTTCATAGTTGTTTACATGTAGCTAGGACATTTTTATTTATAATAAATAGTAATTCTTGTTAAGTACAGAAATCTGGTCCATGCCTTCTATTAACATGGGTTTAAAAGATGAGTAAATTGGTAATTTTCTGAACTATGATAAAATCTTTAACTTTTATGATGACCCCCCTTTATGATGACGCTGGGAACAGCAGAATTTAATTTCCACCATGCTACCCCAATGAAGCATAACAAGACAAAGGCAACAATTTAAAAATAGATGGAGCAAAAAGCCACAGTCAATCTGTGAGAACAAGGATGATAGATATATGGTGTAGTACTACACATGGTAAATTGAGTTTTATTGGAAAAAGGGAAGTCAGCAAAAAGAATGCTAGATTAATTATGTCTAGAGGTGACTCTAGATGTATGTATGAAGAGGCACATATGAAACATCTACCAATGGGGAAGCAAAAGTAGGGTTGAAGATGTGCAATATTGAATTAAAAGCAAACACTTTTTGAAACAAAGTTCAAAGTCAAGCAAGAGTCAAAGTTGTGAAATATCCAGCTGACCCAGAGACAGTGGCTGATTAGTGAACAGGAATTAGTGACAAAGTAGCTCATGTCAAGGCTTCAAAACTCCAACAAATGTTTAGGAGTCCAGGCAGGCTTTAACACTCCAGAAATGCCCATCTTACAAAACTTAACATTGCGGTCTAACTAAAAATTTCTAAAGCGTCATTAATTTTGCACTCAATAAACTACTCAGGCATTTATTATAATTTAATGAGTGTGTACAATATACATCTTCCCTGGAATATAGAAATTGCAGTGAATAAATCATTTGCAATTGCCACTACAAAGCCACAAAACACACTGCTTTGCATATCTTAGAACAGTACTTCACCTAATCTTCTATCATATAGGAAGCATTTAGGGATGTTGCAGATGGATTTGATAAACCAGTTTGACTATCACAGGCAACAAGTTAAGCAGCAGCAGACTTGCTTACTACATGTCTAGTTACAACCATTCAGGTTTATACCTACAAGTCTAAAAGCATAACCCAATATTTTTCAAAGTCAATATTAAAGTAATTAATGTTGCTTACCTTCAACTTGTGTAGGTTTTGGTTCATATATCAGAGTGGTAGATGCTACATCATAGGTAGAAATATCAGTAAGATCACTACTCACAGATGCTGGTATTTCATTCTTCATAAATAATGGATAAAAGAGAAAGATAAACAGAAGAGAAAATGAGATTCAGAAAAATATTATATTTCCAAATATAAGGATTATATCAAAAGCCCAAGAACTGCAGACTTCAAAACTATATATTTTTTTAAAATCTATAGATGATGACACCAAAGGTAAACTTCAATTACGTTGATTCAGAAATGCCACACCCCTCCCTATACATGAGCGAAAATAAAATTCCAAGACATTGATTTTAAAAGTAAATAGTTCAAGTAAATATATATAAATTACAACATTCTTCACCTGAAAGCTTTTCTCTCACCAAAGGTGGAAAATTACAGTAACATTTTGTTTCAGCATTACTGGCCTCTTCCAAATGAGTTATAACTGAACACATTACTTTTATGGCAAAAAGCACCCAATGACAAGACACCGCACACCATTATTAAATCATAAATCGAAGAGAGATTTCCAGTGACTGCACATGGGCAATTACAGGTATAAGTCATGATGTTGCTTCCCAAGATGCTCAACTCCTCCAGAAGTTGAGCAAACGTGACAACTTGGCAAGAAACATAGTGCTAAAATATGTATAATCGTGTGATGTTGATGTATTTATTTGATGTATACATGTTAAGCTCTTCAGAGAATAAAACAGTGTTCATTCATTCCAGTGCAACTAACTTTTAAGTTGTAATTACTGGCAAGCAACATTGCTGGTTTGTGTTGTGCCTTATTGTAAACAGCTCAATTCACCTTTAAAAGACATGCTCATGATGTCACCATTGTATCATAGCATGTGACCAGAGCGCATAAAGATCTCACACTACATCTAAGCTGAGAATCATTTGAAGCATGACATGTTACAAAACACGGTGTGTAACACATTAGCTTAATGTTAGCTCAGAAATACTTGTGCCTGCGAATGTAATGTTTGTACATAATCATTTGTTGTAATAAATGCATGTTGAATTTGTCAATTCCATTGTATCCTAATCCGTTTTTACTTTTTGGGAGATAACATAAGAATTGCCACAAGAGATAAAACGTCCTCCTGGAGGTGAAATTACATTATGGCCATCTTTTTAAAAATTCCAATTTCTTGATAGCACATATTCAGAAAAACAATTGAAGATTAATCAGAAAACCGCTTTAGACATCAGAGATTTCAAACAATCAGCAAAATCAGTTTCTATGAGTACAGATAGCTGTACAGATCTATTTATAGGACATGCAAGAAGATGCAGGTAATTTCTTTTTATTCTAGGATTGCCTTAATTAATAATAAAAAGGCTGAAGTTACAAACATAATCAAAACCAAATGTTACAGACTTAAACTGAAGCACAGTGAGTTCTCTGCCTCTCTCTCTCTCTCTCCTTTAAAGAAAAGAAAGGCTGATCTGATGTAACAAAAAAGGCAAACGGTCCTGAAATCACACCTTCACAGCTACCTTAGAAGAAAATAAAGTTTAAAAACACATTGGTTTTTGTTTAGTTTTTAGTTAGACCAGCAACGGGAAGCTTTGTAAGATGGGTTTTAAAAAGGTTAATCTGTGTCAAGACCTCGGCTGGTTTCAGAGTTTGTTTCTACAAAATGGAATGGAATGAAGAAACTATCTTAGACATAGTCAAGATATTAAGAACTGCAGATGCTGGAGTCAGAGATAACACTTGCCTGTAGGTGGTATTCATGCCGAAGGAAGATTGACGATTTCTAAGATAATACAGTGTGCAGCTGGATGAACACAGCAGACCAGGCCACAGGTCGGGAAGGGTCTGAAGAAGGGTCCTAACCCGAAATGTCAACTTTCCTGCTCCTCTGATGCTGCCTGGCCTGCTGTGTTCCTCCAGCTCCACACTGTGTTTTCATGGACATCGTCAATCCTCCTTCAGCATGAACACCACCTACAGGCAGAAAGCTAATAATCCAAACCTACAATTCTCAAAGCAGCAATTTTGAAGGGATAGAGGCCATGAAACACTAGATTTAATTGACACTGACACAAAGTTAGTGATACATGGCTTAAAGTGGTATCGTGCAAGACATTTAAGACAGAATCATGGATAGCAAAAACATCATTATGAAATGGATACCCAGTTATGGCTCTCCTGAATTACAATTATTAGGATAACATCTAGTTTGATTTTATAGATCAAGCAATACATGGCCCTGAGAAAACAGCTCTAAAAACTTGCTGACCATTGGAAAGGAGGGTTTTTGCATAATTAACATATCTGGTCTTCTGTGGACAATCAGAAAGGTTCAGAAAAGATCTTAAAAATACTCTAAGACTATCTCAAAATAAGAAATAACTTCATGATTAACAGACTCCAACTCGTGATGCAGACAGCAACCCCAAGAGGCTATTGATCAGTTTATCAGATGATGCCACAAAGGTCATGAATGTGACTTCTGAAAAGGTCTCAGAGAGGCTCACAGAATTAAACGTCAACTATATATTAATCGAAGCCATTAGGAAGGATATTTTGTGCAAAAAAAAGGGCCATACCATTGATGCATAACTTGACACTGATACAAGTACGTAGGCACAATGGCCGGTTGACAACAATCACATGCTTTAGGTACAGTCAACATTATTGCTACAGTCAGCAAAGCACAACACATAAACAAAACCTATAACAGTGCAGTTTGTCACACCTATCCAAAAGCTGTCCACCTTTTCTTAATATCTGACAAGCATATGGCACCAAAGGACATTGGGTATGCATGGGCAGGAAATCTGGCTTCAATGGAGAAGTCAGATCCCAAAACAAAGCACAGATGACTAAACAAGATGGTACAACAACACTACACCAGCAAAAATGAAAGTGTTAAGAAGATAAGCAAATGAAAATAAATCGCGGTTAAAACTCAACCAAGCAAAAGGCAAATTTCAGATGACGACCAAGCTTTCTATATTGTTAACCTCACACACCATGAAGGTCTAAGGAGGATCAGTAGATTTCAAAACCATTGACATTATATGCCCTGAAAAGGCAGGAAAACATACTTTTGAAGCTAAAAATCAGCACAGGAGCTGGTATCAACATATGACCACTTCAGAGGTACATTAGCTCAGTTGGCTGGATGGCTGGTTGTGATATAGAGACACCAACAGCATAGTTTCTCCTCCATAGATGCTGCCAGATCTGCTGAGCTTTTCCAGCAACTTTGTTTTTGTTCCTGATTTACAGCATCCGCAGTTCTTTTGGTTTTTATTTAGCATAGTTTCAATTCCCACACTGGCTGAGGTTACCATAATGGACTCCCCTTCTTAACTTTGCTCCTCGCCTCAGGTTAAACCACCACCAGTCATCTCTCTCCAATGACAGAATAGCCCTGTGGTCCAGTAAGACTATGGCAACTTTACTAGTACCACGACACAGCCCGAAAGACATGTACCTCAGCAAATGGCACTCCATGATACAGCCTATGAGAGACTGTCTCTCAGCATACAATGGATTATTAAAACCTTACATTGGCAGAATCACACAGAAGTGCTAATATGCAAGTTCAACTTGGCTTCCTGAAATCTTCTACCTAGTAGATTGTAGTAGCAGTGGCATGGCTACCAGTACACACAGATCTCTGTACAATCACAATTCACAAGATTCAAAATACACCTACTATGGAGGAACAGACCACACATGATGTAATTGAATCAGTTAACAATCTCAAAGGATATGACTTTGAAGTGAGATATAAGCAAGGATGATTACAACTGACGTGCTGAGCAGATTACCTAACCCATATACAGAGCAAGATATTTCTCTTCATAATCTAAAGTATCAACATTTAGATGAAGTTAAAGAGTTCCCAAGGTTAATTTGTTATAGTTTGCCCAGAGTCAGTATGAACAGTTGCAATTGGCAACTGCTTAAGATGGGCAATTACAGGAGCTGCAAAAGATCATTCTTCCAGGGACAGCCTGACAGCAAATGCATAGAGCTAAAGAAAGCATGTTGGCAGGACACAAAAACAGCTACTTGCTCCTCTTTGATTAGTGCTTTGGAATTTAATCATCCACATGAACTACCAGAACGGAGATACATAGCATTAGTTTAACATTTCACTTACAGAAAATACATACAAAAACAAACAAGCTGTCAAACAGAAACAAATCATTTGGTCCAAAATATCTGTCTGAGAGTTTACCTTTCATGCAAGCAAATGGTCCTGTCCACATCAACACAATCCTTTCCCATAATTCCTCAACTACCTTTCCACTTTAATTTTGATTTTTGAAGAAAGTTTCTGTCTCACTAACCATGGCTTTGAATTCCTTAACATTTTACCTTCCTGTATGAAGACATTTTTCCTACCACTGTTCTAAGTTTCTTCCATTTAAATTTGCATCTGTTGGTCATTCATCCTTGCCCCATCAAATACTCGAAATAGTTAGACTCCCAGTCCCATCTTTTTGACACCTCAAAGATCAATTAATTAATTCTACATTGTAACAAGTTTGTGATTCCATCATATTGCTCTGCACTGTTGCAGCGGGATAGAAAAATTGGACTTTTTTTAAGTCTTAATATGTCATACCAAGCAGCATCTAAATTGGTCTCATTGTATCTTTTTTTAAGTTTAACTATCCTTTCCATAAAGTGCAGTCCAAAATGGCAGACATCAATCCAAATGAGGTCTTAAGGTTTTTGCAGAGGTTTTCATTGGCTCTTGGTTATATATTCTATCGGTTCTATTTGCCACAGTTTTAGAAATTGGAGGTAAACCTGACAACCATGTCTTTATGTTTTTTCCCAGCACAAAGGTTACTGTCATTCAGAACTTCGGATCAGAGTTACTGAGCTGGAGGTCAAGCTGTGAACGTTGCTGCACAAATTGGGGAAGGGGGGGGGGGGGGGGGGGGGGGGGGGGGGCGGGGAAGATACTTGGAGACTTTATTCCAAGACAATCACAAGCGTTAGGCACAGTCTTTTGATTGGGCAATGGTCAGGGACAGGAGAATGTGGCTGTAAGTGAGGCAGGTAAGGGGATCAGCCATTTGAATTGTGCAGCAAGTGTGACATTTTCCCAGCATGTTTGGATCAGAACGAGGGCTGTGGACTGGCTGAGCTAACACACAAGTCCATTCAAGTCAGGAGATCAAGAGGGAACTTGTGGTGATGGGGACAATATTGTAAAGGGGGACTGATGCTGTTCTCTTCAGCAAACAGCTGAGTTCAGACAGGTGAGTTGTCTGGTTTCAAATATCTGCTCTAGACTGGGGAGGAACTTGCGACAGGAAGGGGAGGATTCAGTAGTCATGGTCCACATTTGTACCAATGATGTAGGTAGAACTAGGAAAGAGGCTCTGCTGAGGAAGTATGAGAAATTACAAGTATAGAAGTCAGAAACTTAAAGGTAATATCTATGGATTACTGCCTGAGCCATGTGCAAATTGAGATAAGATGAATAAGATTAGAGAAGTGAACACAACACTCAAAGACTGACATGGGAGAAGCGGATTCTGGTTCATGGGACACACCAGCACCAGTTTTGGGGAAAATGAGATCTGTATCATTGGGATGGTCTGCACTTGAATCATGCTGGGGCTGCATTCTCAGGAGCCATATAACTAGGGAAGTAGAAGGAACTTTAAAGTAAGTGGGGTGAAAGGTGCTGGGTATGAGGCTTGGGTGATCCTAGAAAATCAAGAGATAGAGTCCAGACAGGAAAGCAAAATACTGATTTTGCGTAGACTTCTATGACTCTAACTAAACATAATATTAAGGAAGAATATTTCTGAAGAAGGGTCCAGACCCGAAACATCAGCTTTCCTGCTCCTCTGATGCTGCTTGGGCTGCTGTGTTCGTCCAGCTCTACACCTTGTTATCGCATAACATTAAGGATGTTGTGTTTCTTTTATACAGGGTATTAGTAAGACCACATCTCAAATACTACGTACAGTTTTGGTCTCCTTATTTAAGGAAGGATGTGAATTCTTTGGAGGTGGCTCAGAGGATTGATACCTGAATTGAGCAGGTTGCCTTACAAGAAAAATTTGGACAGCCTGGGCTTGTTTTCACAAGGGTTCAGAAGAGTGAGGAGGTAAATAAAAACTAAAAGAACTGCAGAGCTGTAAATCAGAAACAAAAACAGAAATTGCTGGAAAAGCTCAGCAGGTCTGGCAGCATCTGTGAAGAGAAATCAGAGTTAATGTTTTGGGTCTTGTGCCCCTTCCTCAGAACTGCCCACCTTGAATAAGTTCTGCTCCTCTCTCCAACGGGATTTCCATTCCAATCCGTTTTCTTGTTCACCATCATTCCTGATGTTTGACCAGGTATTTGCTAAAACCAGTTTCCACAGCCACATCACATTCCCCAGTAATTTTAATAGTTCTTGACAAAAACTAGGTGACAATGTTTTAAATTAGGAGTATCCTTTTAGGACAAAGATGAGAAGAATCATTTTCTTTCAGAGAGTTGTGAGACTTTAGCCTCAGATGGTGATGGGGACGGGGGTCACTGAATGTTTTCAAGGCGTTGGAGGATAGATTCTTGTTAGGCAAGTGAAACAAATGTTATCAGGGATAAATGGGAATGTGAAATTTGGAATACAAACACATCAAACATTATTTTGTTTATTGGTGGAACAAGCTTGAAGGGCCAAATAGTCGACCTCTGGACCTAATTTCTATTTTTGTAATTCTATATCTAAAATCACTGATGGAGGCATGCACACAGTTAACAAAAGTGGGTCCAGAACCGTAACCTGTCAGACACTACTAACCATTTCAACCACACCCCTCTCCTCAACTTTAATTCTCTTTTCTCCTTACTAAGCATTTTTAATACACTTTGCTTCACTCCTCCTAACTTTAGACATCTTCTGCAACAGTCCCCTATATGGTACTTTACCAAAGGTTTTTCTAAAGTCCACATGCGCTATATATACACAACATTTTCATTATCTAATATGTCTGCTAGTTAGCTGAAGAACTCTGATGTATTCCAAGTCCCAGCACCCTTTTGGAATCTGCGATGGGTAGGTCTAACCACTTGCTTTATATCGAGATAGATGGTAAATTCATCCTTTACTAAAGGATTTAAAATTTTTCCCATCACTGACGCTTTTACTCCACCTACAATGACCCAAATTATTTTGTCTCCCTTTTTAAAAATATGTACTACAATGGGCGACTCTCCATACCTCAGGCCCTCATCCAAATTCAATACAGCCCTGAAAGATAAATTCATGGGCCTCTTCAATGTTCTCACTTAATTTATTATAAAAGCTAGGATGTATCCAAACAAGTTCTGGCTCTTCATCTTTCCTCGGCTTAACTAACAAATGATTTTTTCCAATCATCCAACACAGTATTGTGCCCCTTACTCTCAATTAATTTAAGCTCCATCTTCTCCCCAATATCCTTCTCTTTAGTGAAGGCCAAAGCAACCTGTCTATTTAATACCTCCGCCATTTTTAATCATCCACTACAAATCCCTACAAACCCCACCTCTTAGGAGTTCCGATTTATTTTTAACGATTCTCCATTTATTGATAAATTTATAAAATACTTTGAAATTTTTTTTGATTTTTTTTTTCCTTACACACACTTTTGGCTTTCCTTTCCACATTTTAAAATCTGTGCGTATTTCTTGACATTTTCCTTTAGTTCTCTTCATTAATCTTAAAGTCCTTGTAAGACATTATCTTCAAATTCAAATGTTTTCTAGCCTTTTTATTCATCCATAAACCACACCTCTAACAATGCAGTGGTTCCCAAGTAATGCCCTGGAGCATCAGTCTAGATTAATTCCTGAAATCACAGATTGAGTTTTAAACATTATATATTGTACAATATTTATATAAATGTTTTGATCTGTCATGTGACATGGTTGACAGGCAGATCAGTGAAAGTGTCACTTTTTCTACATTTGAATTATTGTTCCCTTTTCATGGCAAATATATTGACACCGTGAGTACAGCACCACCAACTGGTTGTAAAAAGACTTCTTCCTGCAAGTTCAATCACTGCCCAATAAACATTTCTTATTTTTCAAAATGAACTGCACAGTACTTTTACTTTAATTAGAAGACTTTAGTTGCATTTTCAACTACAGTCTATTTTAATCAAGTCATTAAACTCAGAGGTTTGTGTCATGAACATTCTATAGCTGACATGTAAGTGGTTCCTTCACCTCAAGTACTATTCCTCTCCCTTTTAAAATTACCATCATCTCCATTTTGCTCAAAAAAAACTCAGATCTTTCAAACTACCACTCTACTGCCAAGCTCAGTTTGCTATTACAAATTCTAGAATATGTTCACCATATTCCAAATGCATGTTCACACTTGCTGCAACTCCTTGTTTGAATCTCTTCAATCAGGTTTCTGCCCATGTCAGAGCACCATAACAGCCCTAAATAAAGTCACAATGGCATCCTCTGTATTGTATTCTCATTGTGCTCTTTGCCGCTGTTGGTCAGCTCTAATACCTTACCACTATTGTCCAGAATTTTTATAATAATTGTTCAAATACCACAACAATGAAAGCAAGAAATCTCTACAGGTTCT